AAATGAAATAAAAGCATTACAACGTTTGTTAAAAGGTAATCCTTCTGACATTGGATGAACGTAATTAACTTTAGCTCTCTAGTTAGTTTATTCACGCAATTTAAACAAAAGTATAGAATATAAATGTATATAAAGTATAGCTGCAATATAAGTTAGTGTGCATGTTGTCGGACGTCCACTGACTAACGTAGAGCGTTCACACAGGATCTGCTGGTCATATGATGTTCTGTGAGGAGCAGAAACACAAGTAGCCCGCTGGACTCAGATCTCTAGATACATCATCACTCCTCCGCTGCTCCGATACAAGTCCGGGCTGCGGTGGTTTGTTAATACCTTTATATATACAGTCTATGGTTGATGGTTGATACATGTCGTCTTCTTCTGTTTGCTTTAATCGAGGCAACGTAATTATGCAGCGCCCCCATCGTCAGTAAATGGAAGTACTACAAAGAACCCCGTTTAGTGCAGTTTCACAAGTTTTGTATACACGGCTCGAAAAAAATGACCGAGGTCCGGACCTCGGTGACCTCAATGGTGGATACGGCCATCACTGAAAACCGGCAAAGATGAATGGACTGAAAAATATGCGTTCATCCTCCCTCCAGCGAGCACCAAACCAATGTGCCTAATATGCCATGAAACGGTAGCTCTTGTGAAGAGTGGCAATTTGAAACGGCACTATGAAACGAAACAATTATTTTGAAGCGACCTTTCCTCAAAATTCAGCAGTAAGAACCACAAAAATAAATGGGATGAAATCCTCATATCAAGCTGCAAGCAGGACCCTTGTAACATCTATGTTACAACGAGAAAAGGCAACTGAGTCCTCACTCAGAGTGGCATGGGTGTTGGCTAAACACAAGAAGCCATTCTCTGATGTAGAAATATTAAAAGAATGCTTGACTGAAGTGATGGAGACCATGTTTGAAGGCAAACAAAAAGAGTAAATAACAGGTCAAATTAAACAAATCCCCCTCTCAGATTCTACAGCAACCAGAAGAAAATAAATACTGGCTGGTGATTTGATTAATCAGCTTTGTGATGGAATCAAAAATGCACAGTGCATTTCCTTAGCTGTGGATGAGTTGCAATTGTTTAAAAGTTTTAATGACCGTATTAAACGGACCTTTGTCTTATTGAACATTTTCTTTGTGGACCTTTAAGATTTGTATTTGAGTACCCCTGCTCTATAGTAATAAATCTTCCCGTCATTTCAGATCTGGCACCTCCCTCCTGTCCTGCAGTATCCAACTCTCCTGCAAGTCAAATCACCTGACCTTCCCACCCACTTAGTCACCGGCTTTCCATTTCCCTAATCAGCCCAGTAGTCGGCCTACATATACAAGCTTGTCTCCACTTACCTGTTTTACAGCTTTGTTATGCTTACTTACTCCATGGTTTGATCATCCGCGCCCCGCCCCCTCTTGGAAAGGCTTTTGGTCTGACTGTCCACCTGGTTTTGACCTTTGCCCGTTTACAGATTCAAGTAAACATGAATACCGGGATATCCTAATGCATTCTGTTGCATTTTTCAGTATGAAAGCCTAAATCATGTTTTATGTGGGCAATCAAGTTTGGAAAATCAATCTATCTGGCATTATTTTTATTTTATTGGATTAAAAAAATATATTATGTTATTTTTCAAACTCTTGATATAATAGTAGGAATGGTTCCTGTACTAGCTCTTTCTCATTAGACCTACGGGAGATAAACTGTAAATGGCGGAGAGGATGTGGAACTACCAAAAACCTGGCATGTGTTCATGAGCCATGTGCAGCTGTTCACTGAGCAACAGGAAGCAGGAGGAGTTCAGTGACCAGGACCCTTGGACTCTGTTCAACACTCAATGTCAAGGGGAGTCAGTTCGTTTTTTATGACATGTCAACATAAAAAGTATTCAAGGGGACAAACTTCCACATTTCATTTTTGGGTGGGTGACATTACGCACTTGGACAGCATTGATTTGCAGGCATCAATCAAAAAACACTATATTTTAGAAGTGTTTTTGAGTAAAGACTAGTTCTATTAATTGTACAGGAGCACTAAACCTCCCTAATGTGGAGAAATCAAAACTACTGTTATACCATGGTATGCTCTTTATTAAAATGGCAAAAAAAGAAATTAAATAAAAGATCTACGTACACATGTGTTAGCAGGCAGAGCTAACAAGGGTTCGTTTGTTGTAATATGACTGTATAATATAACATATATTTTATTTAGGCAGTCGATGTGGAAGCTGACCCTACTTGAAATGAATCATGCAACATTCAAAGAAACATTTCTCTTAAAGGTGGGGTAGGTAAGTTTCAGAAACCGGCTCGAGTGCACTAAAATTTGAAAGTACACAGCCGAAAACAATCCGCCCCTTCCTTCAGACTTCCTTACAGAGCACCTCCTCCAACACACATGAACGCGCACATGACGTCAGCAGACTGGTGAAAGTGGCCGCCTGTTGCTGGCGAGTCATTGAAGTACTGCTGCAATGCACGCCCAATGACGGCACGCCCAATGAGGGCACGAGATACATTTGTGCGTACACGAGATGGAAGGCTGACAGACAGGCCGGGCCGGCTAAACGGATTGGTTGTACTTTTACAGTACTACGGCTTCCACAGATGACATTTTTTTATGGATTTTTTGTCAAAGCACTTAAAATATTCATTGCTATCGGGATGTTAAGAGCATTCTATGGAATATAACAAAAAGTGTATCTCGAGCCGGTTTCTGAAACTTACCTACCCCACCTTTAAGGGTGGGGTATGTAATTTTAGAGAAACCAGCTCGAGTGCGCTAGAATTTGAAAATACACAACCGGAAACAATCTGCCACTTCCTTACAGAGCCCCTCCTCCAACACACACGAACATGCACATGACCAATGAGGGCACGAGATAAGTTTGTGCACAGATGGTAGGCTGACAGGCAGGTAGGCCATCCAGTTATTTTAGCCGGGCCGGCAAAAATGATTGGTCGTGCTTTTTACAGTGCTACGGCTTCCACAGATACTTTTTTTTAATGTATTTATTGTCAAAGCATTTAATATATTCATTGTCACGGTTCATATTTTTGTCAAATGTATTTATTTGAAATATTGCACACTCAGCTGCCCTGATTTGGAACTTTTTGTTGCTTTTACTGACATTCGAGATCGAGAAAGAAAGAGAAGCCCTGTCTGTCATTCCTTACTGGTGGCTGCTTTTAGCTGATTCATCTTGTTGGGGTTATACGAAACCTAGCCTAGCAGGGTTTAAGGGCAGTCGACCCTCATTATTCACTTTTGCTTTCTTGACCAACACCAAAAAGATTGCTACTGAAAGCCTAAAAGTGACATTGCTTATTCAAACCGTTGCGATGTCTTTGTTTTTTTTTAAATTATTGTTACCTGCCAAGTATACACACACATGCTGTTAGTTCAGTCAGACAACTCACGTGTTCCTTTAACATGTTTATTAGAAGCAACATATAGTTGAGTTTGGCGACTAGGCTCGGGCATCATCACTCCATAGATATACATAGCACGATGAGTGATGATTAAATAACTAACCCCCGAGCCTACAGGTGGAAGCTGGGGTGGTGGTGGGGCAGGCAAGCAGCAGCGACGTAGAGATAGCTGCAGCAATAGCAGCAGCAAGCAATGCATGGAGAGAGATCTGGCAGGTTAAATAGAGCGGCATATTAAGGAGACTCTGTTTGGTTGGTTGTAGAGTGGCAAGGGGGCGTTATGTATGAATGCAGCATAAGTGCTCGAGTTGACTGCCTGAACTAGCTCGCAGGCTTCGCCCCATTTATGGCAGTTTCAGTCGTGATTATAGATCCTTTTATGTAATCTTGCTTTGTGTGCCGCATAATGGAGCCTGCAATATGCATACAGTGTTTCCTATAAAGAGTTCTGTCATATTGAAACATTTAAATGAATTTCACACTACCATGACATTGTGTCAGAGTGTAGCCTAGCTGGATTTGTGCACACGTGTAGAGGACAAAAGAGAGTTGTGCAACCTTAATGCCCCTTTCTTTCAAACTACACTGGAGAACTTTTTTCTGAAGTGCGAGTGACAGCAAAGGGTTAGGCAGAACACAGCTAACATCCCTTACTCCACAACAAGGACTTTGGACAAGGGACATACAACCTGTGAGAGGACTAGCTAAGACACAGACTAAAATAGGAGTAAGGGTATATCAGTGAGGACAGGAACATCTCAACGCTTATGGTTACATCACCACGACTCACCCTCTGTTGGCCTCCTGGGGAACTACAAGTCTGATACACACAAGTGAGTCAACAAAATGGCTGACCATACTGTGAAATGTCAGAAGAGGACTAACCATATTGTTAATATAATGGATTGGACTATATACAAATATACTGTATGTCATGCCTTCCTGTCTTATTGTAAGAATCAATACAATCATAGAGCAAACATTAAAGCTTTTTTATTTGAAACCCTGACTAAAAGAAGAAGGATAAAGAACTGTACAATCACTAGTTGGTTTACAAATATCCATATAACATTGGGTAGGACTCTTTTCAGAATCATAATCAAAATCGGTTTTATTGATCAGTAGGTTTATACATAAAAGTCATTTGGTGTAAATGGTGCATACAAAGACACAGAAAGACGAATACGTTATTTTTTTAGAGAAAGGAGCAACAAATAAAACTATCATAGCTATTTTAAATACAATTATTATATAGAATAATTGTAACAAATCATATGATTGTCTTATGTTAAATTTCTAACATAAAAAATAAATCACCATTGAAGCTAAACTCACTCAAGGTCACGTGTCAGGAGATATGACACATACAGTACCAAAATAAAACTCACAAATACACTTCTATAATATATAAATTACAGTGACACTTTTGTCTGTAGTTTAAGGCAACAGACATCTTTTTTCAGACTTTTGTCTAACAGACTCCTCCTCCATTATTTAATCCCTCCCCTCTCTTTCTCTCTTTCGCGCAGAAATCACAAACCCCTCCCTCCCATGCTCTGCTCCCTGTTGTCCGACTCCCTTCTTCCCACCAACGGCTCAGTCTGTGAGCCTGTGTGAACGCCACTGCAGTTACTCCAAGCAGAGACTGAAATCACCGCCAAACAAACCCTCACATCCTGGAGCTGTTCATACCTACCTCACCACCTTCAGCTACCGACTTCAACATCGCCGCAAATAGAGCGACTGAAAAAAAGAAGCAAGCAACGATCACACCGCGACGGTTGGTCAAGTGCCGACCAATGGCGGATTTGTTGTACTCCATAAGAGGCGGAGTCTATTTGTAAGCGACACGGGAGAGACTCGGTTGTTGTGGCACGGATCACTAGTTGTTCCCGGTGTATGCTGAAACCGATGGATTGATAACAAAATCCTGGCTGCAAAGGGTTGTTACTTTACACAACAAGGTCCGGAAGAGTTCAGCTGCAGGAGGAGGAGTAGACCGAGTACTACCCACTGACCAGAAAATCGCGGGAACATCGGTGACGCGAATAGTCGGTGAGTCATGGTACTGCAACTAGCATGCTAACCAAGCTACTCCCATTAGTGGTTTATATTTAACACTAAATTGATCATATGGATTTATGAATGTAAATATTAAGTCTTGAATTACTTTAAATAAAGTTAACTTTTGTTTTTGAATAGCATATTGCACAGCGAGCCAGGTATCTTGGATTGTAGCATTGGTCAGTTAGCATCCGCTAATGTATTATTTTCATTGATAATTCATTACATTAATGGCATTTTAATTACTTTTTACGTTTTTATGACAACTTCAACACATTTTTTAAAAAGTTTAAATGTATTGTTAAAAGTCTCTTTTCAAATGACAAGATTTTTTTCTTTTTGTTAAAGCCAGCCTAGCGAGTATTGCAATCGCATTAATGCTAATATAAAATGATTTAACACTGATTTAATGCATTTCAATTATATTACATTAAGCAAACTATTTTAGTTATTTTAGTGCTCTCACACTACTTCCCGCTAAACAGGTTAACACACTTGTTTGAAAAATGCACACTAACATATAAACACCTTGACCTTTATTGGGTCTAGGATGTGACACCTTCACAACACTCATATTTGCCTGTGTCTGATACAAGTAATCAAAAAACGTTTTAATGTAATTCAGTTACATCTCCAATTTCCAATGGTATATTAGACTTACTTAAGAACTGTAATTTATCTATACTAATGTCTTACACCAAGTCCAAGTTAGTCAAGGCACTGTTGCTAAAAATGAGCATCAAGCAGCATACTGCAGTGAGGACTGTATAAAGGAGCGATAAAGAAGAGATATTTTTGATGTGATTATGCCTGCACTTAGATAATGAATATTTTGTGGGTGTTTGAAAAATAAAAACTTAACTATTTTAACTATTCCCTTTTGTAGAGCTTTAACACATGTGTGGCCCCTTTAAACAAAAGCTCCTATCATTTAATGCAAATTATGATATACTTTCCGCTGATTGAATATCAACACTTAATGGAGGTCTTACTAGCACATCATTGAAAAATTGCCTAAAGTGAAGAAGAAACTGCTGCATTGCCAACAGTGTGCAGTTAAATCCCCCTCTTGGTCTAAAGTGGTACAGTCCAGTAATTTTCCATGCGCCACACTGTCCCACTGTGGGTGTGGCTTAATGTCTGGTAATACAAGACTTTAGCAGTTTTCCTTCTTGCCCTGTTCTATGGGTGATCAAAAGAGAGAAAAAAATATCCACAACTGAATCTTTGCTCCTTGACCCTGAAACCATAAGTCAGCCAGAGTTTGGGGAATTTAGCTGTTTTTTTCTTTTTGTGTGTGTTTTTTTTAGTCCATACAAATTGACCTGTTTCAGGTTTTCTACACCTTTTGAGAAAATGGTCGATCCCTGTCTTTAGTTTTACCTCCCCCAGTACACCCAGTGGCAGTGCTCACATGGTGCACTTTCATTACACAGTGCTTTTTGTGCTGAAGAGGAAGCCACCTCTGAAGACTCCTCCTACATTTTTCAAAAGCTTTACTGTGGATGTTAGAAGGCTACATTTGTTTACCAACCACTCTGATTAGATCTTACTATTCATCGCTCAATTACAACAATTTGCAGGGCTAGCTACATTCAAATGTATACTTAATGATAAATGTAAGAAAACCACGAGGTTCTGCTTGGCTTTAGTTTTGAATTGCAAACTCCAAATGTCCTTCATGTGGAGAAAAAGAGAAGGTTATGTGGCTTGGCTTTTTGAGTCCTGGTTTAAATACAGGTTTGGGGCCAAAAGTGTGCCAGTGTTGTGAAGCTGTTGGCTCATGAGCTATCAAAAGTCCACAGAAACCCTGGCCATATGAGTGTTTTACCTCTGAATAATCTACATGTATTTAATGTCAAACAATTCAACTCAATCCTTATTTTATAAATGTGTGCATTTTAGCTAAATGTACAATAAGAATGTATTATTTTGCATTTAATGTTAAAACAGACTGCACTCTTTGTTTCCCATCTAAAATAAACGTAAAAAGAATACGTTTATTTTTTTATTTCAGCTTAATTTTTTGTAATATGAAACATGTTTTTCAATTTGGGAGTGATATCAGGTTCCAATCATGAGTTTTTACTAACATTATTCTTTTATTTTTTTCTTAAACCTAAACAAGTCTAAACCAGTTTCAACCAGTTCCTGCTGGTTTCTTTGCTTCAGGGTGTAAAGGTGAGAGTGATATACAGTCATGGTCACCATATATATCTTGCTATGCTGATACTTTTAACTAGTATTTTTCATTTCACATATAGGCTTAATGCCTACAAGTTTGCATTAATCATCACTACAAACGTGTGTCTATTTTAGCAGTGACTTATTACAAATGCTATCCTTGTATGTGAGTTTAATTTAAAGGGCCCATGTCATGGCCATTTCTACTGATCATATTTCCATTGTTGAGGTCTACAAGAATATATTTAAATTGTGCAATTTTCCAAAATCACATTGGTTTCTCATACAGCATCTCTGTATAGTATGTGTATTCACTCTCTGTCCTAAACGGCTTGTTGGAGCTCCTGCCCCCCTCCCTGTGAGCCCAGTGTGCTCTGATTGGTCGGGATGTTGCGAGGCTCGTTGCGAGGCTCGTCCCTGATGCGAGGAGCGGACAGGTTTCCGGGTTGGCGATACAGCGAGAACAAGCGAAACTCATCCTGAGCACACAAACACTCACAGCGGAAGTAAAAACAATAAGTGTGGCTTGATATTGAGTAAGAAAAAGGTTTATAACGCTGTGAGAATGGGTCTGCGGAGAGCATTGCTCCGCGATTCCAACTCGTCTATTACCAGCGTTCAGGGAGCTCTCTGCAAGTTAATGGGGACTCCCTGTTAGTTAGCCAAGGGATCCTGGTGCGTGAGGTGCTCCGCGGATTGGTCCATTTGTTGTGTGGCGTCTCTTTATTTCCAGTTACACGTTTCCATCAGATAACGTTTATCCTCCCAGATTTGACCAGGGCCTGATAATAAAGCTACTACCAGGTGGCACTTGCACAGATAAAAATGTGTCAAAGTCGCATAAACTATTCAACTTATACATATTAATACTCGATTAGTCATGAAAAAAGCGAACCCTTGAGTTTCCTATTTGTTTTTATCAGGTAGCAAAATAGTCGTAGAATGACATGTAAGGTTGGTGATTGTATCAATAGTTTGGCTTTCACGATTGTCTGAACACTTTGCAAGGCAATTTTTGTTATTTTTCCTTTCAGTTTAATGGTTTGTTTCCTTGCTCCGCCTTCGTTGGTCAGGTCTGATCACCCTTCAGTTGGTAGACAAGCAAATACAATTATCAGACTTGATATATACGCTGCAGCAGGTATTCAGTGTTGTAACGGCTAAGTGCATTGGTGTGCGAAAACCTGGTGATGGTTAAATCCAGATGGGTCATAGCAATCTGTATTGCTTCCATGTGGTAGCTCAGGTGCCAGAAGCGGCAGCATAAAGAGGGAGCTGCAGTCCTCCCGGCAGGGTTCCAAAAGCCCTTGCATGAAGACCTGACCCACATCAGTAGTAAAGAGGATATTGAATAGTGGATTCTCCTGATGTTGGAAAGGAGGAATTACCGGATGTTTTAAATCCCAATGCTTGTCTTGACAAAACCCACCCCTGTGTGGCTTTTTAAACACCTGGACTAGCCAAGTTGCCATCCCTTCATGAGGTACCAGTAATTTGTTCAGGACCTTTGCCCTGACCAATGGGGCTATCCTGACCTTCATCGCTTAATTAAAAAGAATACGAGGCCATACACATGCGCTTCAACACGTGTATTTCGGTTTATTCAAGGCATTCATTTTGTTATTCTACAATATTGTTGTTTTATAGTTATTTGTTAATGTATATAACCCAATTTGTGTTCTTTGAAATTGAAAAGGATATTGTGTTTGTTACTTACGTTGCAGTTATATATGTCTTAAGTGTAATTTGGCTTGGCTTCCTATTTTGTATGGACATGCTTTTATTTTGAAGGAGAGTTAGCGCTGTTGACAGGAAGTTGTTGTTGCTATGGAAACAATGTGACGGACAAAAGGAGCGGAGATTAATGGAGAAAAGTAATATCTACATATAAAGACGGAGAAAGTAAACGATAAAGTTTATGGTTAAGTGTTAGCACCCCCGAAGAAGCAGAAGCTCTTACGTTGATATTGGAGATTTCAATAAATTCAATTAAAAAAACAAAAGAATAACGAAATTGAAAACCGAATAGTGGGCCAACGACCGAATGTTCGGATATTCGGGCACAGCCCTAGTGTTTCCCCCCCCACCGGAAAAACTGAAATGTTTTGTAGAGCCGCCATTTTATTATCCTCGCATTAGCATTATTAGCATTAGCATTCGCCCAGCGCACAAACGCAGAGAGGCTAACTTATGGCAACACAAAAGAAAACATGGGAGCGGTGGAGATGAAGTGTCGGCGTTCTGGCGATTTACTCGGAAGGCTTGATGATCGTGTTGCTTTTATCATACGAAGCCAGATTAAATTAAATAACTACTTCTCAACCCTTATACTTTTCTCCAAAGTGCCGTGGTTCATTGTTAATGAATGTGTTTCAGCAGCATTTACTGACCACTGCAGTGCTGTTATGAAAGTTTCTCTGGTATAAAATGGGTGATGTTAGCATAGCGACCAAAGCTAAACTGACTATCTTGACTACTTGTTGCTATCCTATTGTGGCATAAGCCGTTTTCTACAGGCACATTTTACCGGCATATTTTTCATTATGATTCTACTTGTGATAGTCGGACATGGCAACCTGTGCAGCCCATGTATTGATTCCATCCGATAGCTGCTATAATACAAAACGTCTGCCTGCTCTCCACAATGATCAATGACAGCGAACGGATGGTCAAAGTAAGGTACAAATAAACAGAATCAAACTAAGCTTGGTTAGTGTTGCCTGATTTTATAAAGTTTTTATTTTTTTACATAAGTGTGGTTGCGTTCTAGTCACTTTGGTCAGCGCTACTGCTTGTTACAACTTTCA